TCAAATATCGAAATATATATACTTTTATGGATTATTTTTTCCCAAAAATTTGTTTATCAAAATTTAAAATGTAAAAACTTTAGAAAAATTACCACCTTAGTTAGCAATTATTAAATGAGTAATAAATTGATCAGATCATAAAATAAGTATCAATATTTTATTATTTTCTATCTGCTATTTTTTGAATGAATTATAAGAACTGCCTTAATAGGTCAGCTACTTTTGTAATTGCATATTTGATGTGCATGGAGGGAATGACTCTGCGCGATGCATACAAAGAAGTACAAAATATCCGCAATATTATTTGTCCAAATGTTGGATTTTTCAAACAAATGATTGAATTAGAGCAAAAAGTATAAATTTTTATTAAAATATAATAATAAAATTACAATTTGATGTTTTGAAATTCTGTTTGCAAAATTGGGTAGCAATGTTAATAGTACCAAAGCTTAGGCTATATGCGTCTATTTTATCAAATCATCACACAGAATTATATCTTAATAAGTGTTATGGCATATTCTGAATTAATATTTAGCGTTATCGATTTTAATAAATAGATAATTTCTGTGTTGAATAATACAAAATAATAAACAAAACGATAACTTAATATCATTATTAAAAATTTATTACTAAAGTCGATATATTTTTACAATTTTTAATTTTTATAAAATTCACTGTTAAAGGAAATTTGTTAAGATTATAAAATTTTTTATGCAAATTTTGAAGAGAATTAATTTATTCGAATAATTGGTCAAATATTTGAAATGATAATTACAAGAAGTTATATTGAAGTAAGTACAAGCATTGAGACTGAGACTAAAGCACCAAATAATAATTCATTATATGCAATATTTTTTCATTAATTTATTGACATGATAAAAATAAAATTTTGCAGCTTTACAATGAAACAACCGTGAAAATAATCAAACCAGTGAATGGCATAGAAGTTGCAGATGTCGTCTGGAATGAGCTATATGACGAGATGATGACTGATTTTGATAAAAGTAAAGCATAACTTGGAGGCTCAAATTTTGTTTTTCTTTTGTAACAAATATTTTGTTTTTGATTATTGTACAAATTTTGTAGCAGTTAAGCTAATATCCAATTTCAATACATTTAACTATCATGCATATTTTTTACCTTCTTCATATCACTGATTCATTATATGTTGCTATGATTGCTTTCTCAGCTATTCATACTTATCTTTTCATATTTTTGTACAACGCCAACACTTCATAATAATATAAAAACAGTGTACAATTATGATTTTTTTGATAATTTATATTTTTTAGTTACTGATAAAATGCAATAGTGTGAAATATTTAAATTATTTAAAATAGTCAAAAAATTGTTTGATTATATTTTTATTTATTTTGATTCAATGTAATATGCGATTTATACTTAATATCAGTCGTCATATCCCATACACAAAATATGCAAGAATGACAATGATTTTATCAAATTTATCAGTTCAAAACATTTAAATGCACTCTAATTCAATCAAATAACAATTTAAAACTACCAACAACTACAAACCTGTTTCAATTTCATATTTAAAAATTCAGTTTTATATTTGAAAACTTTTGAAACTAAACTGTCAGTCTTATAGTTGAGTTGTTATCTGCTCAATTACTCTAAAAAATTCTATAAAAAATAATTTTGCTTCCGTTAGAAATATTTGTTCTTACTTTTAAGTTTCACACTTCTGTCTCTGATTTTACTTATTTTTATATTTTAAAAAAAGTTGGGTAATATTTCATTTTGTACATAAATATACATGATTATAAATAAAATGACCCGCGAAAAATTACAAATAAGCACTTATATTGATAACAATCACCAATATCTAGTTAAGAGTCATAATTTTACACTTGGCTGATCGGACACTTCCGGTATTTGCGTTTTCGATTACAACATTCGTTCCTATTTTATAAAAATTAATGGCATTGGTATTAAATAATTATTACAGTAAATTTTGAATTTATTAAACAAAGCTTAAATTTCTCATTGGAATTACTGCACAACAATGCTTTAAAAAAATTTAAGATTTAAGTAGTTGTTAATAATTTTTAAACTAAAAAATATGATAATAAATAAAAAATGCTAATTGAATAAAATTCACATAGGCAAATTTTTTTTTATATTTACAGAAATACAAAAATTAATTACATAATAAATGTACTTCGCAAAAAATAAAATATAGAAATCTACTATAATCACTGTAATTACAGTACAATATCAATCAAATATTAATGGTTTCGACTGATTTCAAGCTGTAATTACATAGCTGAAGTAATATAACTTAATAGCTGTGATATCAGTATTGTTTTACTTTAACTATTATGAACTTAAATCATGACCTTAAATCCTGACCTAAAACCGTAAATTTACATCTTGAAAATTTTATTATATATCGCAATTATATCTATTATTATCTATCATAATTTGAAACAATTGCGATAAAATAATAAAGTATTACCAAATTTTAGCATAGCTATTTAGGCTTTATTGATTTGCTGTAAGAATTCACTAAAAAAATCATATTTTGAAGTTTACAAATGTGATTGCACTAAAAACTCACTCAGAATGCATTTTACAAACTGTATAAATTAATTCGTTATTTAATAATAAGTGCTACTTTGAGATTTTTAATTTTTTTAATAAAAATTTGCAAGAAATTATCAGAAAACCTGTACTGAATGACAGAAGGCAAGCGATTTGGTTTTATTGGATGGACAGCGATAGCCGTTGAGGAGCAGACATCATCAGTTAACCACGGATATATTCCTGGCACATTTTGCATTTTCATGCCTGCTGCCTGAATCTTTGCAAAGGATAATCTCATTTTACGCCTAGACATAATTCTTTGACTTCAAATGTAATGAAAGTAAAAAATTTAAACTTTATAAATCTTCAACATTCGCATTTTTATTTTTATTACTTTGTATTTTTCTTGGATTTCCTCGAAAATTGCTACATTTATATTGATTAAATCAAATAACTTTGATCAAATTTTTGTAAATTTTGATATTAACATAATTGTTATGATGTCATTTGTATTAAATTCTTTTCATTTCAAAATCAATTTCTTAAGTAATCTTAATTGATTAAAAATGAATAAAAATGCAGTACATTTATTTCGTTGCAAATATACAATAAATTTTAAATTTTGTATTGTCATACAAACAAATAAAATTGCTTATAATTAATTAATTAGTGTTAGTGAAAAAATCAATCTACTGTAGACAGATAGCAAGAAAAGAGAGGAAGGAGAGATAAGCATACCTTCACTATCGCTCCAGTAATCACATCAAAAATTTTAAACTGAGTGATATAATTAATGCCAATCTGTGGTATTATATTCGAAATTTTTCGACAAGCCCAAAAAATCAAAATACAAATTGATTTATTCAAAATTTTATTTCAAAAAAATTGAATTTTTGTGCTAGATTAACAAATTTTTCTTGAAGAAATGAAAAACCGAAAATAATTATTACTGTTTTACCTGAAAGTTCTCAATAATCATTGCTCCACTACAATAACTTGGAAGTTCTTCTTCTGGCCATTGTAATTTACTCACAAAGTACTTACTTTCATAATCCCGTATGGCTGGTTGTTTTACAATCACCTTTAAATAAAAAAATTATTGCATAGAGAACTGTAATCCCATGTGGTCTAGTGGTTAGGATTCGTGGCTTTCACCCACGCGGCCCGGGTTCGATTCCCGGCATGGGAACCCCTTTTTGCCAAGTTGGTTGAAATTCTATTGGAACGAACATTGATGAGCAGATCGGTTTTGTACTATACATTACTTCATTTAATTTAATTCAGTCACAAATATAATATACTGTGTTGGTGTATAGAGTAGATGATATATCGCATATGCTTATGTACTGTGTTTAAGCAATGAAAAATGAATGAAGCTTAACTAGCGGATAAAAACTTGTTCTAACCAAATAAATGAATGCACAGAAGTACAAGAAGTGCATTCTGTACATTCATTTATTTGGTTAGAATCTTTATATGCTGTTGTATACTACTTCAAATAAAGGATATGTACTGCATTTAAGTATCCAAGATCCAACCTCTATAACCTGGTGTAGTATAGTTCTATTGGTGCAATTTTGAAACGAACTAATCTTCAGAAGAGTATTCATCAAAAAGTTCTTACCGTGCATCCAACATAACCATCAAGGATATCGTTTTTGGTGTGGAGAAACTTGTTCAGGTATTCACTGAATATTAAAGTATCAGAATCTAAACTAGCCATGAACGGAATATGTGAACACTGTGAGCTGTGATAGTAGTTATTACTCCACCATTTTTGCACCAAATTTTCCCAACTATGAAGTTAAAATATCATGTGTTTTGATCAATCGATTAAGTAAGAGTCGATTTAATTAAAAATTGATTGATTTAGTCAGATTTAGATTTTTTATATTACTCTAATACATATCATTAAAAAAGCTTTATAAAATCATATTAATCAAAATTAAAATTAATTATAATTGATGTGTAATATAATTTTATAAGCATGAGAACTTTAAGTATTATTTACTCATTAAACCAAACTGAAATAAATTTCATCTTAATCAAAACGAAATATAACTACTATACTTTTTACAGGAGAAAAAACGCGCAATAATTTTTATTACTTTTAAATGAACAATATTTGATTACAGTGAGTAAAACTGCTTGGTTTTGCACATTAAAAATATTCAAATGAATTACTTATGCCAAAGTTCAACGTGTTATATTAAATCAACCTGTTTGTTGTCATAGATACTTGCAAACATTGCTAAATTATTCATAGCAATGTTTTAAGTTGTAATAAGCCAAAAAATATACACATATATGTTTGCTAACAGTACCTATCATAGAAATTTGCCATTAATATATCTCCAAACTTAATGCTTTCCTGCGCAATAGTGTAGCTTTCTTGAATGAGTTCACTCTCATTTTTGATCTGACCCATAGAAAATATGACCTAAAAATTTGCAAATAATTATGATTCAAAAATGTCCGTTTATAAGGTTACTAAAAGCACAATCCACAAAGTAAGTTTGCGTTATCTCTTAATCGACCGTCATTTATAAATTTTATTTAAATTAATTAAATTATGACCAATTTATTCATAAATATTAAGATAAAAATTTAGAATTAAAAGACTTGTATTTAGTATTTATGAGTGAAATTTCAAAAGTTCAATTTGAAAAGTAAGGAACAAAAAAGAACAGAATTTTTTTATCTGTAGCAAAAAACTTTAAAAAGTCTAACTGTATTCCTTCAATTTCATTTTTTAGATTGACCTAAATTTTTCATTTTTTAGATTGATCTAAATTTTTCATTTTTTATATTGATCTAAATTTTAGATATTGGTGTAACAAAAATAATTCAAAGATTAAAAATAGTTCACCTCAATACTGTCAGCTTTAGCTTTTAGTGCCCAATTATGTCGAATTAAATTTCTAACTAACTGACCATTTCTATGAGGTGAAATTGCTATGTATAAAGCAGCTTTGGCGCGCTTTTTTTCTACAAAAATTTAATTTTTGTAGCACTAAAAGTCTTTGATTGAGTTTTTAAATTATAAAATGAGTAATTTTTGAAAATTACTTGAATTCTCGCTTTTACAAAATGAATTATATTGAATAACAAAGATAGAAATTAAAAAAGTTTCAACTATTCATTCTCAATTATTGTCAATTTCATATTTTCATTTACACTACTTGCTTTATGGATGAATATTTGCTCAAGTATCTAATTAATTTAAAAAGCATTTTTCAAGGCCAAAATTTTTCACTGAGAAGCAAACAAGTAAAATACAAAATTAAAACTTAATTCTCATAAAGTAATATACTTTTGCATACTGTAGGTTCTAATGAATACTGAAATGGTCGAAAGGATTTCGCACTCTGATTGATTTTGTGCCAGGCATAACGGAATTCAAGTAATGAAGCTGACTGAATATTGAAATTAGATTCGGTATTCATTTCTATTTCCAATTTAGTGATTTTTGAATTTAAATACTTGGATTTTAAATCATAACTGTTGTACTTGTATGTGTATAACAAAATGCTAGAAATAACGCTGAAGAAAGCAGCGATGGCAATCAAAATCCAAATGTTTCTTCGTTTAATTTTCATAGCCCAAATCATTGTTACATTAATTATTTCCAACAGCAATACATTTACACCAACAAAAAACAATGCAAATAAAGTTTACCTGTAATTCAGTAAATTACAAACATATAAATATGAACAAAATTAATTCGAAATTCTAGTAATGATCAATAAAATATCCGTTTTCAAACTTAATTACTTACAACAAAAAACAATGCAAATAAAGTTTACCTGTAATTCAGTAAATTACAAACATAAATATGAACAATATTAATTCGAAATTCTAGTAATTATTTGGTCAATAAAATATCCGTTTTCAAAATTAATTACTTAAAGATGCTTTTTCGCAATGTTTTCGACTTTCGTATTAATTCCTTTAACTAATAAAAGTTTTCTATATAAAATATTTACGGGTGGAAGCAGTATTAATTCCTCTAAAATTTTTCTAAAAATAAAATAGTAATTTTCTAAATAAAATAGTATCTTTTAATACAGTACTAATAAAATACTATATTATATTAAAATATTTATACAGATTTAAGTAAGCGAAGTAGCCATCAAAAATCAGAAATGGTAATAATTTGAGACTTCTGCAAAAAACCATTAAATTTAAAGGTGAAAAGCAAAGAGGACAATTTTTACGTCCTAAAAATTTTGATTATGGAAGGTGTTCAAAAAATGCAAAATATATTTGAAAAATTATTAAATTGTTTTTGTTGTAGTTTAACGAATATAACGTATTTAATTGACGTACCAATAAATTAAGTATTCAACTTTGTTTCGCTCTAAAAAAAGTTTTTTTTTCAAATTATTTTTCAAATGAATTAGACCGAACTTTTTTTTATAATACTTCAAAGTTTGGAGTAAATACAATAAAGTATAGTGAAATGTTTGACAGTTATTTACAATAAAATAATCAAAACGACTGAGTAATAACATAGATAACAAGCATATTTGTAGCTGATAACAAAATGAAGTATAAGACAAAAGACATAAATTAAGAATATCTATCTATTCATTGCGAAGCATAGTCATAGCTAGTTCTCGTCCCATAAACAACCTCCTCTCAGTCTGATAAATACTGATTGTAAAAGTCACAATTATCGTTAATAATGTTGTAGTACCCATCAGTACCAACAATAACCTCACTGTATAATACTGTTATTTAACTGTTTAAAAACTCATAAACAGTCATTACTTAAAAGTTATTCTTTCAAAGTTTAGCTCTAAATATAATTTAATTTAAATTTACTGAGCTAAAATTAATCACAAAAGTTGAAATTACATTTATAATTTTCAAATGATACATAAAATTTTATTACTCTGCATATTTTACTTGCATTTTTGCCTAAGATTATAGTTATTTGAAATTATTTACTGTGCTGCAAATTAAAAATTTATTCGTCTTTCAATTTTAGAAATTGAAAATTCAAGTTTGATCGAACTAAAAACATACTTGGAGGAGGCTGATCGTCTTTTGCCTTTTTTTTCTGTAATACACTTTTTGTTAATGTAAAATGAGTAAAATCTGATCAAAAAAATTGCTTCTTAAATTTTGAAGTAACTAATATTGAAAGAACTTACTCTGTTCTACAGCTAAGTGATTACAGTATATTAAGAAATTATTAAGTTTAGTATTATAAGTTCGACAATCGAAAGTAACAGGAAAATACAACGGCTTATCAATAAATTTTTGTAGCTTAGAACAAAAGTTAACAAGTTTATCCAAATCTTTTAATTAGATAATTTAAAACATATGCAATAATTATTAGCCCAGTGTTAAAAACTTATAGATGAATTGTTAGATATATATGATTTGGAGAGAAACTTTTCTTGAAAATAAACTAATTCACAAACTGTTATTATTCGCCATTAAAACTTTTGTGCTCCAAATATGGTTGACAATAAATTGTGTAATTTATAATAAATATGCATGCATTCAATATTTGATAAAATTTGAATAAAAACAAAGAAGGAGTATCAAATTTAGCTTGCGGAGGAAGAAATCAGAATCTCATTAGACTTCTCCAACAGCTAAATTTCATATTCACTAGATTCACACTTTATTATGCTAGACAGCTACGGTATTTGCTAGAGACTTTAAAATTTTTAGTTACTCGAAGCACAGAATTATGGAAAGCTCAACTGGAATTGGTAAAATCAAATATTGCATGCAAAATTTTTAGAGTGCTTTGTCTTTGAATATTGCAAATGTCTGCATTTTTACTTATATTTAGTGTTTTTTTTTTGCTTGAAAAATTTTAAATTTTTGATTCAAATGTCAAATAATCATTTAGTAAATACAAACCGATTTCGTTGTACTACCGCTCGTTGCGACAGTTACACTAGCTGCCATCGTTTCGGTACTTGTTGCTGCAGTTACATCAGGTGTCACCGCTTTGATACCTACTGCTGCAGTTACATCAGGTATCACCACTTTGATACTTACTGCTGCAGTTACATTAGGTGTCACCGTTTTGGTACTTACTGCTGCAGTTACATTACGTGTCACCGTTTTGGTACTCACTGCTGCAGTTACATTAGGTGTCACCGTTTTGGTACTTACTGCTGCAGTTACATTAGGTGTCACCGTTTTGGTACTCACTACAGCAGTTACATTACGTGTCACCGTTTTGGTACTCACTGCTGCAGTTAAATTACGTGTCACCGTTTTGGTACTTACTGCTGCAGTTACATTACGTGTCACGGTTTTGGTACTCACTGCTGCAGTTACAATAGGTTTCATCGTTTTGGTTCTTACTGCTACAAGTGAAATTTTACAAACATCTGCATTTCTAATACCATTTTCTGTTTTTGTGGTCGAGAATTCAGTTTAGAAAATTAAAAAACATAGCTCAAGAACAGGAAATTTTCAATTGTTTGCCAAAGCATTAAATAATAAAAAATAATTTGAATTTACAAGCATCAGTTTGCAAATATCTAATAGAAAATATAGAGTACAATAAATCAAACATAAATAAATTGCAAGTGATATGAGTGTGAAACAAGTATGCATCACTTTCATAGCATATTGTCTTAGATTAAAAATAGAACTGAAAATTGTTTTTGCGATAATTTAATTAGCCATGCGAATGCTATAACTGATAGCATTAATATATTGCTTTATTTAATAAGATATTAATTTTTTTGAACTGTTTTCTTAATAATACAATGAATTGATACTATAATTTCTGATTTTCTTAGAATGCAGTTCATATTTTGCTGTAATTCTTTCCTTTTTCATATCGATGTTAAGTTGTCGTGAAGTGTCTGAAACAGAAATTATTTTGCAAAATAGTCGTGAATATTTCAACAAAGCTTACTGATGTCAGTTTGTTGAGTACTGAATGCTAGTGATGACACCAAAATAAATCACTTCGTAATTCCATAAATTGAATCTCTGCGATAATCGCATACATCACTACCGCTTGTAACCACATTTAAGTGGCAAACTAACTTATTTTTACCCGAACAGTATATTTATCGGTTGATATTATTTGCCTACCAGGTACAGGTAAATAAACAGTACAGTGATGAACAAAATTAAGAAGGTTAATTAAGTGAAAGAATTAAAA